GTGTGTGTGTGTGTGTGTGTGTGTGTGTAATCAATAGTGATGGTTGTGCTTTCCATCATATGTGCACTGCAGCATCATGATCACTGTTTTACAGTGTATATTTTCATAATCACAGCCCAATATTTATCTGCGGATCTAATATTCATTGTTTAATATTTATTTAACAGGTGAAATTTGTACTTCATATTTTTCTCAGAAAAAAAAACTGCATCTCAGCTGAAATTTTTGATTCCCTCTTTTCTTTCAATACCTAAAATTTAGCAAAAGAAGAAGAAGGAGTCTCTCCTCAAGAAGAACAACACTACAGCCTACCCAACTGCCACTGCTACACCCTTCGCCCCCAATCCTGCCAGGAACCCYGGATTGGCCACAATCGCAAAAAGTGCCCCTCCACCACCGGATGAGCCCAAGGAGGAGCCAAAACCCAAACCCCCAGAGGCCAAGAAGACCTTTAACAGTGTGAGCAAGATTGACAGGATTGCCAGAATAGCCTTCCCTCTGCTCTTTGGAACCTTTAACTTGGTCTACTGGGCAACCTACTTGAATAAGAAGCCCAAATTGCAGGGGGTGAATCCAACCTAATTCGTATTTCATCCTGTTGAAATTTTACCTGGTTTCATTTTCTTTTTATTCCTTTTACAGAGAAAGAGAAAAAAAAAGTATTTTGAGATAAACATTGTGTCCATTTTTGTTTGAATAATCAGTTGCTTCATTGCTTCTATGGTAATCTAAATTTTGAGGATTTGGAAAAAAGAAAAAAAAAAAGAAAAAAAAAATACCGGGAAAAAAACTGATATCTTATAACAACGACTTTGAAAGGTGTTGTTCAGGTCTAAGATGATGCTACTAAAAAAATGCTAATATAAATATTTAGCCAAGAGACTACTATTCTTCAAATCTACATAGCCCAAACCTGTCAAGGAGCTGTTGTTTTTTGTGTATGTTTATTGTTTAAATGTACTATTTTTTTTCTTTTAGTTTTAACATGGAGGCACAGGCACAGTCAAAGGCACTTGTGAATATGCATGGGCAGGACATGTTATTGTTTATATAGATTTATTCAAACTAGAAATGAGAATTGACTGATGGCTTAGTTTGTTTGATGTCACCAGTGCTATGCCGAATCTTTTTTCAAAATATCTCCCCTTTTATGTAGAATGTTTATTATAGAATATGTCATTCTTGAAAATATATCATGGTTTCTGCAATAGCAATAAAACATGTCTCGATGGACATAGTTTCTTTAGGGATCAAACACACAAAGTTCAGTCATCCGTGTGCTCAGAATTAAAACCCATTTGTTTTTTTTTCTTTCACAGCATTGTAAATATTATTAGGTGTTAGAGATGTWTTTATTTTGAATAAGCTTTGAAAAGTGTAACTAGGGGATGTTCAAATGAATTCATGGAACGTTTTTTTTTTTAAATTCTTAATTTGCTTTCCACAAATAGATGAATATATCGATATAAATCATGCTGAACTGACTGTTTTTCACCAAGTTAACATTCCACTGAAAACATCTCTCACATTAAGGTTAAATATGATTAAATATGTGTGTCTATGTTCACATCATCATCATCAACAGGAACTATTGAGATTGGCTTAGTTAGGGAAAAGAATGTAAAACCATCTCAAAATCTGGAGTGCATTTTTACGTTTAGAATAAAAATAATAATAATTTACTTCATTTTGTTGGGATTATATTSTTATTTTATTTGATCATTTCTTTTAGTATTTGACTAATTATGCTGGGGTCGCCTTTGCTAAAAGTACATTAGAAGAAAGTTCAGTGGTAGGGCACATTGAGACAGAGGAGAAGTGCCTTTTCCATTTTCAGAGTTAGAGCTGTGGTGGTTCTTAGTTGATTGATGGCACACCTGTTATTATTTTTTTTTTCATTCTATTGTGTCCCTCCCCTCCCTTCCAATTCATGTTCATCAAAATTCACATGGGTCAAATATTGAAACATAATACTCAGAACGTACCAGCTACACTGCCTTCAGTATCACATGCCTGTTTGGAGTCATTTGTTGCTGCTTGTTGGTGAGCAACAGCGAGAGACAGGGAGAGAAACTGAAAGAGACAAAAGGGGAAAAGATGCTGAGTTGAAGTGGCACTGTAATCTTAGGATGGCCGGCGCTGGGTTTTGCACAGAGGGCTTGTCTTGTAGTTCTACAATAGTGATGAAGATGAATATATTTTTGTAGCATGATGTCAATCCCTCTTCCAATAACATCCGACAGAAACTAAAGTGGAAAGTATGAATTTGTTGTGGTCTTTAACATTGCTTGCTTTCTCCTTTATTTAAATAAAAAAAAACACCTTTAGGTGTTGATGTGGCACGTGAAGGTTTCTAAACAGTCCATTTGAAATTATGTTAATGTAGCAATATAAATTAGCAAGGGCTTTTCTTAGGACCTGAACCTGGCACTCAGTTTGAAAGTTATATCCATTGTAGCTTTACACTGACTCATCTGTACTTGTAGTTTTTTATGTGTGTTGAAAATGGATATTTATATTCTCTTGGTTAAATAAAATAGCAAGCATTGCATTTTATGATCATCTTAATCTTTAGCTTTAATTGAAATATTCCTTGATAAAATGAAAGTGGAAGTGTGCTCACTGCTTCATAAGTTGAATGTTTATTTGACACTGAACAGACCAAGAGACATTAAAACTGGGAGAATTATCAGTGCGTGTGCTGTCGCCACTGGATCACACTACTAATATGAGCAATTGAAGAAGAAAACAGTGCTTCTTGCTTTTACCACAATCAGTATAATTATCACAAAATTTATCTCCCAACTGAAAACATATTACCATTATATGCAAACAGTCCACTGTTCACAGCTACTTCTGTTACAAGCAGAGGGTCACGGAACTGTCAAGTTGAAGCGGTAGAGTTGTAAAAAGATGTTTGAGTTCAAAACTATTGTATTTATGTTTGTTATCATAAAGAAAGAAATATATAAATATTTATATAAATATATATACTTATGTAAAATACATATTGCATACAGTTCTGATTATAATATTGAAGATGTTAGCTAAGATGATGATGATTATTGTTTGTATTCTGAACTTATTGTTATGCATTTTGCACATTTAAAAGAACAATAACATTTCATTTATGTAGTCAGCTTTGTGCTATGCAAGGACAGCTTTTAACCACATCATTGACTTTTTCACCTTGAGCTTTGGATTTAYAAGCTATTGTGAAAAAGAGAAAGGAAATTGCTTGACTTTTTTTTTTTTGTTTTATTTGTGCATCTATGAGCTTTTTCTTCTCCCCAACAATGGCCATACAGGGTGACATCAAAGAAAACAGTGGATTAACTATTTTGTTTGAGCTTTGGATTTATTAGTAATTGGAAAACGGCTTTCATCGTTGATTGCACTTTTTCCACAGGGTCATGCAATAAAGTGATTGAAATGCAAGAAAAAAAGGAGAAATTGTGACAAGATAACCTCATTACTCTTTTTCACTGCTTGAGCTTGCCTGTCATTACAAAAAATGATGAAAGTGAAAATGTTAATTTACTCAAAGGATCATTGTGTCCCCTCTTTACTTTTCAAAGCTGGGTGATAGTTTAAAGTGCACAAGGGAGTTTTTGACTTTGACAGAGTAAATGTGAATTTTGCCCTGTTTTTTTTTTTCCTTCATTGAAAACATCTTTGCTAATTTCTTCTTGTGTTTTCAAACTGGAGAAAGTACATTTTTGCTATATTTAATGTTCCAGAATGTGAAATATGAGGCACAGTTCTGTCATGAGCTTCCTGCTTTTATCTTCATCCTCAGACTCTTCATCTATGTAAATATCACAAAATAGGTCCATTGCAGTTCTCATCCATATGGTATTCAACACAGAAACTTGGTTATTCCTAAATACCTACTGGTGTTATTTTCTTGTCTTTTTAACAAATATACGTTCAGATTTTCACTGAAAATAAACCAACTAAAATATCTAAAGCACAAATGTTGATAAGGGTAAACAACACTGGAACAATACTGTGTTCATATGGACATCCAAAAACATGAAATACATACAAGTTCACTTATCCACATACCGTATATATGCTGGCAGTCCAATGATACAGGTGAAGAGTTGTGATGGATGTAGATGAATTGATAAATTTTATGTAAATGTTTTATTATTTTTTGTTTGTTTGTTTGTTCTTTTGGTTCTGATACGGCCCTGTAAAATATAATTCTCTGCATTAGTCTTTAAATAAAAAGAAAACAAATGAATGTTTTGTCTAGTTCTGTGGATCACCAGACACAGTTTAATAGAATTACATGTTAAGAATAGATGCACAAATTACACCACATGCATAAAGAAAGTCAAAACTCAGAAAGTTTGTGTTACTGAAAATATGAGTGACACACTAAACTATAGTCAACTAGAAGCACTCGGAGAGTGCAAACCTCCACCAAGGACAATTTCCCCCATCCTGTAAGAGTTAATGGGCAAAAGCAGAGATGGAAAAACATTTGCCGAATAAGTTCTGACGTAGCGAACATTTAAATAGGCAGTATGCACAGGATTTCTTCCCGGTGGAGTCCCATGAAAAAAAAAAAAGTCTGACTCGTCACCTGACGTTATTCATCGTCCAACTGGTGTCGGATTAAGTTCCTGAGTTTTCATCAGTCACATTCCACCATGTAAAACATCTGTTTTATCCCTTTTATGGATTTGTAATGGTTTGACTCTCTTTATAAAGTGCTTCCTGGTACAGTCGGCTCTGTTTTTTATTTTTTATTTTTTTTTTGAAGCAATTGATTGAAGCAAAATATGGTGTGTGAGCGTTTTCAGCACAAACACTCCCGCAAACTTCAGAACAATCCAACAATAAAGTTCTTATGTGGAGGGGGTACCTCACAAGGTTGATCAGCTGTTCCCGCAGACAGTCCAGCTTCAGCTCGGTTGCAGCAGAACCCTTCCCCTGGTGTGTTCTGTTATTCACGTAACGTGAAGAGAATCACATTTATTTTTGTATGTCTCCAGACWGCATGTAACATCGCCAGAAATAGTTGATAACAGAATAATCACAACTTTCGTGATRGTAGACATACTAGGATGTGTAGTCCCAGCAAGTTTGMGACTTGTACTTCCTGTTTCATACAGGCATGCATGTGACATAATGACACTGTGTAACCCTACTGATTTGCTGGAATTAAAAGAAAAAATTTCCTGTATCCGCATCGTGATCCAGAATATCACCAAATTTTAATGTTATGTTCCTTGGGCCAGTACCCACAAGTGGTAAAATTTTCATGACAATCTGTCCACAGGTTTTTGAGTAATTTTGTCCACAGACAGAATGACAGACAGACAGACATACGTGACCGAAAACATTACCTTCTCYCCTTGGCGGAGGTAACAAATAAAGCTGCTAAGGACACTTGACAACCACATAAACCCTTTGGTGCATTGGAGTCCAACAACTTAAAAAAGTAAACTTATTAAAAATAAATAAATATATAAAACCTCTCTCACTCTTTAAGGTTTATTCAGGGGTGCTGGACAAGAGAGTCTGATCGATGATCGAACCTCAGATTCAGATGGAACAATGTGAGTTACAGTCTGGCTGTAAAACAATGGACCAACTCTTTACCCTCACCAGGGTCTTCGAAGGGTCATGGGAATTTGCCCATCCTGTCATCCTATCTATGCATTTTAGGGACTTGGAGAGGGCATTTGACCATGTTCTTCGAGGTACACTGCAGGGGGCAGGTCCATAAGTATGGGATTAGGGGTACAGGTCAGTCAGTCCTTATACAAGTGTTGTTAGAGGGTTTGGTTCAAATTGCCGGCAATAAGACAGACCCCCGTAGTGTAAGAGTTGAACTCTGCCACAGCTGCCCATTGTCACAGGTTCTGTTCATAATTTTTATGGACAGAACCACTCCCTCCAGGGAGTGGAGGGAGTCCAGTTCGGTGGGCTCAGGAATCTATCTCTGCTATCTGTAGATTATGTGATCTTGTTGATATCATTGTGTTGTGGTCTTCAGCTATTATGAGAGCGGTTCACCGCTGGGAGCGAGTATGAAGCAGCTAGGATGAGGATCAGCACCTCCAAATCTGAGGCCATGGTCCTTATTTCGAAAGAGTGGATTGTTCTCTGAGTTGTTGTGAGGTTCTGCCTTAAGCAGAGGAGTTTCAGTAACTTGGGGTTTWGTTCACAAGTGAGGGAAGAATGGAATGTGCTATTGATAGAATAATCTTGCTCACCCATGGCCACAATCTTTTGAAAGCAACTGAAAGAACAAGACTGTAGATACAGGAAATCACAATGGGTTTTCACCTCAGTGTAGCTTTTATGGTGGATTACTAGAAATACTGGTTGGAAATAGGGTGAGAAGTTCTGTCATCAGGGAGAGAAGAGCCACAGCTCCTCCACATCAGAAGGAGCCAGTTTAGGTGGTTCRGGAAYCTGGTAAGGATGCCTCCTGGATGCTTCTCTATAGGGAGGTGCTTCAGGCATGTCCTACTAATAGGAGACCCTGGGAAAAACCCAGGACACATTGGAAAGACTATGTATCCCGGCTGGTCTGAGAACACCTTGGAATCCTCCCAGAAGAGCTGGAATAGGTGGCTGGGGAAGAGAGGTCTGGGCTTCCCTGCTCAAAATACTGCCCCCCTGCAACTAGACTCAGAATAAGCAGAAGATAATGCATGGATTAATAAAAAAATAATTAAATAAAAAAGAAACAGAAATAATTACTACACATTATTGTTGTGCTGGTGTTGTTGAAAAAAAAAATAAAAATAAATGAT